TGATAATATATTGATATTTGAACCTGTGAACCTCACTTTTGAAACATCCAGTGCTCCGATCACGTTGAGAATATAATACATTTTCTTTTACTTATTCCCGTACGGGTTTTGGTGAAAAATGTTTCAACTCATTACTTAATATGTTTCTTTTAAGCGCCAGAGAAAAATAGTGCAAACCTTACTTAAATCGTATCGTAAATCCTTGTATATTTTCACAATAGAAAATGTGAATGAATCTCTCCTCCACGACAAAAACAGATGGGACAAATCTTTGTAGTCTATGACAGCATACATGTTTTACTACTATGCATACACATTACTATTGTTGGTAGTAGGTAAGCTAAGTAACAACGCTATCATACTGTTTGTACTACACCCATCATTAATTCGTCTTTGCCTTCAACTATGCACTTGTCACGCCAGTCTGTCGTATTGTAGGTATTTTATTATCGATTGTGTTAAATATTTATTTCATCACTACCAAGCACCAAGAACTGATTATGTAGTGTCTAGTGAAGTATATCCAACCTCAGTAAAGAAATGCCATTAAAATCCTTGTAAGAGGAACGAAGCGTGTAATGGAAGGAAAGATGAAGGAAGACAAAAAGGGCCTTGTTTGGTAGACGCTCCTCATTAAACTGTTACGAAAATGAACCTCGTTTAGGGACTTACAAAAGCAAAGTTATTACACCTACTTTCAATCAACCCCGAGAGAAATTGTTTGCTTCTTCAACGTATAGACGACAAACTAATTCTCTGCCTACATCACGAATATCGCCTAAGCACAGATGATACACCATTGGGTATGAGTAACATATCATTAATATAATATTTTACATGATAAGGTACTACTGCTTAAAAGTAACACTTCTTATACCAGTTTACTTTGAAATTAAATTGTGTTACTCGATTAATTATCTTATGAGTGCTATTATAATTATTTGGATGAGAGCCGATTTCATGGTTATACTTACAAGTGAAATTTCATGAGGAAGATGACCCTGTGTTTAAACATTAATTTATGGTAGTAAAACAATTGAAGAAGAGTTAATAAATATCTTTTGCTATTTATCATTACGTTAACACAATAAAGTTCCACGAACAATTATGCAAAGGAACTAACAAAGAGAATGGAATAGATCTTTTGTCTGCTTTGAAGCAATGAAACACGTTCTCCTCATTGTAGTTTAAAAATTAGCTTACAGCAGCAGATGATAACAAAACATGGATTTAATTAATTAGTTTCAACAATAGAATGATTAGTAAATTCAATGAACCCTCGCTGGTGTACACTCTGGTTGCTTCGACCGTGTTGAGAATATAAAATTGTATTTTTTGTTTTCCTCGTATAGAAAATAATTTTTAAATCATAATGATTTCAGATCATATATATATTTTTTTGTGTTTTTACGCAAGTGGCATTTTTACTTTTTGAAAGGGAACGTTCCAAACCCTGGTCTTGTTACCATCTACTTTCGAGCTTTTTGTTAGATAGCATCATTAATTCATTTCTGTTAAATAGACCGAATAAACTAACCACTAAAACAACACCATTGGGTGGTTAGAGCATGTCATATTAATACGATCTGAAATAAAAAATGAACGATACCGTAATGATTGATACGTACCGGTACTGAAAAACACAGAAGGATTCTTTGGTGCTCTGCTGTCCAAGGCATCAGGTTATTCTGCATAGAGAAATTCACTAAAACACGTTCTTACGTTGAAAGACTGATGTTCACTATTTGGAAGGATTCCTTCAATAAAGAGACTGATTGTATCATTTGTCACGGCATCAATAGTACGGAAGCAATATTGAGCCCAAGCTATGCCGGCAATCCGGCCGAGGCGATAGACGATCCATCAATTGATACGTCAATTATTCGACAATATATTATAGGCCTATATTATAAGCCAACAACTTGCTTGGAACAGTCTAACAGTGCACAGTTGCCGGCTTAAAAGTAATTAAAGGTTAACCAAGTTACATAGAAAGGCTTGGCCTCCAAGCAATTATAGCAGGTACAAGTCTCATTACCTGTTGCATTTAATTACCTGTTCGTCCATCCCCAAGACAAGTAAGATTCTTTTGATAAAGTTCATGTTTAATCTGCTATAAAGGTAAATAATATGAATATGAATTTGACTTCCTCCGCCTGCCCTATCATATTAATATTTCGTTAAATTATACAGTCTCTTCTAATCGGGACATATTATTTTCAATGGAGATATCTCTGTAAGTAAAAGTTCTGCTCAATCATGAATATTGTTATCCAAGTCACTCTTGACGACAACCTTTTATCATCCATCAGATCGTGGACGGGTCATGGACCCTATTGTATATATATCCTCAAACCTTTCCTGACACCATTAAGCCGACACAAATACCCTAATAAAGAATCAAAGCACCAACAGTATTTAATTTTATTAAGATTAAATACATATCTTAATACTTATTTTTGACAGATAAATATAATTTTTATGCTTGATTGATCAGTAATATTCTGCACTATTCCGCTCAGTAAGCTATGATATGTTCACACACTGTTTCTTGGTCTTTTCATGTGTATATTACACGTTAAATCACAACATTGACTATTGGTTACTGAAGATCACACGTAGTAACTCCTAATACTTTTCATGACATAAGGAATGCTTGAAAACCTCGTATTTCCAGTTTTTGGTGGTACTATTCCTTCTACACAGTCAGCCCCTTAACCGTGTAAAGTTATTTCTAGAGATATTTATAAACAAAGTCGCTTGATCCAGCGAGGGTCGCCACGAGTAGGGAGCCTCCCCTCAGTGACTCATAACCATCGCTATTAATTTTGACCCTTCCCCCATGTGACATTATAGGCTTATTACAATTTCGGGAACAACGAGCTCGTCACGATCTGTTGCTCAAAACCATATTGTCAGATGCCTTATCATGCGATGTTGCTGGGTAGACGAGGGTTGTAGATGTCACAGCCCTTTAAACACGGAAAATGTGAAACGCTATTGTATGGTATAGTGGTGAATGTTATAATTTGCCAACAATGCTTTTCCAGGGTTATGAAGCAAATAATTATTTTAATTTGCATTGTGCTGTGGGTATCTAATCGAAAAAAAACTTTGTACAAGTTGTGAAGTATGGGTTGATCCAATATATAGCTTACGTTAAAACTACAATGGGTTTCCCTGTTACATCCCTTTTCCAACTGTCCTACTTAAACATTTTTTTAGGGCCTCGCTCCCCTGGAGTTTAATTTAGTTTTATAGTACATTTTTAAAAATTCAGTTATGCTGACTGCGGTTGAACGGTTGAAATAATGTGAATCCTTGCGTGAAGGCGATATCTACGAAACACTACTCCTCCGTTAATAATGGACGGATTTTTACAAACTAGGCTATGTGTCAAAATTTTAAAAAAATTAAGTATTTTTTGTGTAGATTCCCCCTTTCACAAATTCCTGTAATAAAAGTCCTCGGGCTTTGCCCCACATGACATCAAAATTCCAATGTATTTCTTATGAAGAAAAGATTATGTTTACTAAAACAGATCAGTTTCGATCACTGGAGTGGCGTTTGATTACATTATCTTTACGTTGACTCTTTTAAGTAAACGGAAATTATGACTGTTATTAGTTTTGATACAATGCCTGCAATACTTTGCAATTGCTCGAATCCGAGCAACATGTGCAATAGTTGTAATTTAACAGCTGCTCCTCACAAACAACCTACCCAGCAATTGAAAGGTCAAATTAGTTAAAAGTTTAGTTAGGTGGTTAGTTATAAGTTGACTGATTAACCACTGTCAGATTGCAAAAAAGAGACTACAGTTTATGGAAATGCAATCGGCAACTTTTTTGACAAATGTGACCTACCTTACTGTTAGGTAAATCACTCTTTATAGTATAGATCTGAAATCAAAAAATTTATCGAAAAATATCAGAAGCAAAGAACTTATATTTTTCATTGATTCGAATATAATAGCAAAAATCCCGTTTTTACTTAGTTTTAATTTTTAACAAATCATCTAATAAAACATATATTTTAAAATCTTCAGCATATTATGGGTTGTTTAATATAGTTTCTTTTCACCAGTTGAAAATAAAAGTTCATTACGGAATACATTTCTAAAAGGCTACAAAAGTCCAAATTAATCTTATAATCTCAAAATATATTGAGTCATATTATTTTTCCCCTAAGCATTACAAATAATTAGATAAAGATATATTTTATTTACTTTGAAATGGTTCTAAACAATGTTTTCTTAATCGATGAAAAGAATAATCATGGCTGTAGAAAAAGCTTGCCTTAGTCAGTAAGACAAGGGTTCTCCTGTATTCAATATTATCCGTGCATTCATGTTCAGTTTACGTCCCTGAATTTTAATAAGCGAATGACTACCCTTTTAAACTTTCTGAATATCAGGAAACTTTGCTTCATAACATTAAATGGAAAGACTACACCCACAGTTAGGGAAAGAATCATATAAACACTCTATATTCATAAGGTAGAACAAATAAAAGCCAATTTATACTAAATCTCAATACAAATTTAATTTACAGGATATGTACAAAATCACATAAGATCATACCTTATTCACACTAAATACATTGCACGCATTCCATTGTCTTAAAATTACTGAAAGTCATACAAAGTGAATCTGAAGAGAATAACTCTCTTGGAGGAACGCAATGTTGAGCATATTGTACAGACATTCTTCATTCAGAGTAACACTTGGTTCTTTGCGTGTTGAATGTTTGAAGATAAGAAAGACACAATTTCGCACAAGAACTGTTTTAAGTTAATTGATTGGTTTGAAAATAAAGTTTGTAAAATATTTTACCCCTGTTTTGTATATTTTAACAAGTACCGGTACTTTAAGTAAGTTACCAAGGTACCTTAAAAAACTTATTCTGTTTTATCAAAATATTTGTCGAATTACATATAATAAAAAGTTTGATTCGACGACTCGTAGAGATCACTGTAAGCCACTTGTGTGAGAGAGAATGTCAAAAACGAGTAGTAACGACTGGTCCTTCCACCAGCGTGGACTCCTCCTGAAACACACGGCTATTGGTCAACTACAGAGTATGTCGTTGAACTAGGCCAGCATAGCCAAACCTAGTGATACGGCATTAGATTACTACAGTAGGCCTAGATACTATTTTGACTGAACCAGACAAACAGAACGCACTTTATTGAATTGTCCAATCAAATAACACATCTCGGCATTGTTGAATGTTTCACGTATGTTTCATGGACCTGTGTATTTATTATCTCGTTATTGTTAAATCTTTGAGTTAAACCAACATAGTTCAACGTCTTGGTTACCTTACTGTATTTATTCTCTTGAATACGAGTATGAAAAACAACAAACCATTAAACTTTTGAACTATGTCAACCCTAGTAGACCTTATTGAAGCCTTGCAAAACGGCACTATCAAATACTCGAAAAAGGGCAAAATATGTATACTTTATTGAAAGAAACATTACACTATTGCAATGATAAAAAGGCGTTTTGGTGAGAGACAGAACCCTTAATTAAAGGCATCGCTTCGACATAAAGAACTCAAAGATTGTGTGTGAAATTTATAAACACTCGTGAATAAAATAAAATTTAATCTCATGTAATACGTATACACATACCAATACACATACTTATGTCTTTTAACATTTACAGCGTATTTGCAATTTTTACCTACTTTTGTATGATATAGATAAAATCTTTAAAATCTTTTCCCATAATATTTTAAAATAGCAAATAAGTGCCTATTTGCTATTGTTTTAAGGCAAGCCTTCCTTGTTTACTTCAAATCTTGCTAAAAGAGTACAGTATAAGAAGGATACATATAGTTAAAACTGTCATAAATATTTTTAACATGGACTACAAAAACAGCTAAACAAGATCAACCAATTTCCAAGCTACTTTACGTTTTACTGACTGATACAAAAGCACACAGCACAACTTTTCAAACATAAACAAACTAGACTAGGTTTTTGTATGATAAATCAAAGTATAACTTAAATAAAAAATACAGATAAATCTGTAGATAAGTAAACCTATATGTAGGTAAAAATAAAACAATACATACAACAAGTAGTTGTTGGAACAAGTTGTTTTCAGAAACATTGATAGGAAAGACACTGAAAAAAGGTATTTCAATCTGGAAAAATTTTCATTCAACCAAGTCATATAGTGTTAAAAGTCTTTTTCAAAAATACGAGTAGCCTACCTTAAGAGAACACATAATCAAGATAGGCCTCTAGGGGGTTTTCCACGTATTTATATTTGGTTAATACAACATATTATTCCAGAAAGTGACGTCACGACAAGCCAACTGAAACATTGTTGTAGTGTAAATATCTCGTCTATATCTTTGAATTATAATTCGTGAAGTCTGGAAGGCAATACACAAAATTAAACTTGTGTTTCTGAAGTAAGCATTTGGTGATTTAACGATCAAATAATTACGCCTTTTAATCAAATTTTTTGCAACCCCATAACTGCAGGCCTTAAATACAAGTAAACAAGGACAACCTGTAAAATACAAGTAAACAAAATAGTAAAACACAAAATAAGTCATATAAAAAACACATGAAAATTTCTACACATTGACGACGACATACTGACCATGCAGACAAGCTACGAGTGCTATACCGAGCTCTCTTTGGTGAAGGAGGATACCCTTGTCTGTAGAGGGAGGTCAGCAGACGGCTGTTGTGTCGTCAGCAACTTGGAGTATACGCCGCCTCCGACAGGCAGCGCTAGGGACAACTCTGCATACGTCACCTCCTGCGACATACACAACAGTGTTCTGTTACATCCACAAAACTACACAAGTTTCCATATAAAAATGTTATTTATAATTTATCTTCATATCTATTAATTAAAACACAAGTGGTAATTCAAACTATACATATTTGGAAACTATACAAAGCTCGAAATAAAGAGTTAATTGAAATAATAATAAAACAGAATGCTGAATTGTCCTGACTGCTTGACTTTGTCAATTAAAGCCAATGTTGGAATTTTTGTTAATAACAAATACATAAATATATCGGCGCACAATGTAGGCCTACATATCCAAACAATAGCCTAGTACTAACGTTTAATAGACTCTAAGAGACTTTATTTTTTTAACTTACGTTGACATCAATTGAGTAAAAGTTATTAGTAAATTCTTCGATGACGGATAAAAATTTTAGGGCTTTTCAGCTATCCACAGCATACGTTGCAGCAATCTATCTAGTAACTCGTACTATCAACTATATAATGGCGCAAAAGTTAAACATAATTAATTAATACCTTTGTTTTAAGGGTTGTGAATGGTTATTGTGAATACTGTGTTTACTTAGACCATGTTCTTTCCGTAGATTAGTCAAATATATTTAAAAAAACATTTATCATGCAATAACAGCAGATATGGCAATCAACTTTAAATAAGTAAATTTATATTATGGACATCTCTACAATATAAATAAAATACAATAAATAAATAAATAAATAAAATAAATAAAATACTCTAAAATACCAGGGTTTAGTATTTATAAAGGGATTTTGAACTGCAATGTTCATTAACATAATAAACCGGGGACTAAATCTACCTCGTACCTCGTACGTAATGTACAACGATCTTAGATGTATTAAGTTGTCATATAGCAAATAGCATCATAGCGTACAAATTAATTAAACTATGCTCTAGGAATTCAGGTCATTTAAAAACAAGCAATTTATCAAAACAAAACACAACTAAATGGCTGCCCAGAGCACGTTCACTAAATTAAAGTTGTAGAGTGGGCTATAACATTGTTAACTGGAGCACTGTTACAGTGGTAAAGTGAGTACTTCTCTTATATCTTCTTGTTAATGTTGTAAACCTGTCCTTACTTTAACATAATGTAGCTTTTATGTTAAACGAACGTAATAGGCATTTTAGAACTTGTGAATGTATGTTACGTTATACATTGCTGGAATAAGTTGTAGTATCTAACACAATTAATTAGTGTATAGCATATTACTTGGTACAAATAACCACGTCTAAAGTTTCTTAGTAAGAAAGAAAACAATAAATTGATAATATACTTTTACGTATCATACTCTTACCATACGTTTCAGCTCCTGTGTCTCGAGGATATCAAACCCTCCCCCATCTAACGGCTTCTTATCAAGGCAAACTTCCAGATCTGGAAAAAAATTATATTGATATAATTACCTGACAAAATTCATACCGTATTTTGTAAATAAATCAGTGTGTTTATAGGGTGTTAAGCTTATAGGGGGGGTTCTCATTCTAAAATTATGAGTGGATAGAAAAACTAGTTTATTAAATGGCGTTGCAACATCTATAAATAGAAACTAAATTATTATTATGGTCTGACTTATAAAGTAAATATCTAATATAATTCAACATGCAGTGCAACAGACCGTTGTTGAGGGGTATGATGTCAGGGTTCTTGTCCACACTGTCAACACTGCTACATGGTGGCTTGTCGCAGTCAGGGGCTGTTTTGAGGGTGGACGGCTGACGAGAGCGTAGCCTCAGCGCGAGCAGCACTGCCAGAGCTATCAGCACCAGAGACAGCACGACCCCAGCCAGCACCCCGGCCAGTGGCGTCAACTGACTCAGCACCGGACTCCGAGCTGCACCACACACAGGGTAATTAGTATTGGGATATTACCACCAAGCATTTAGCCCACACTTAAGGTATAGCCTCAGCGCGAGCAGCATTGCCAGAGCTATCAGCACCAGAGACAGCATGACCTCTGCCAGGACTCCAGCCAGTGGCGTCAACTGACTCAGCACCGGACTCCGAGCTGCACCACACACAGGGTAGTTAGTATTGGGATATTACCGCCAAGCATTTAGCCTACACTTAAGGTATAGACTCAGCGCGCGCAGCACTGGCAGAGCTATCAGCACCAGAGACAGCACGACCCCTGCCAGCACCCCGGCCAGTGGCGTCAACTGACTCAGCACCGGACTCCGAGCTGCACCACACACAGGGTAGTTAGTATTGGGATATTACCACCAAGCATTTAGCCTACACTTAAGGTATAGCCTCAGCGCGAGCAGCACTGCCAGAGCTATCAGCACCAGAGACAGCACGACCCCAGCCAGCACCCCGGCCAGTGGCGTCAACTGACTCAGCACCGGACTCCGAGCTGCACCACACACAGAGGGTAGTTAGTATTGGGATACTACCACCAAGCATTTAGCCTACACTTAAGGTATAGCCTCAGCGCGAGCAGCACTGCCAGAGCTATCAGCACCAGAGACAGCACGACCCCAGCCAGCACCCCGGCCAGTGGCGTCAACTGACTCAGCACCGGGCTCCGAGCTGCACCACACACAGGGTAGTTAGTATTGGGATATTACCACCAAGCATTTAGCCTACACTTAAGGTATAGCCTCAGCGCGAGCAGCACTGCCAGAGCTATCAGCACCAGAGACAGCACGACCCCAGCCAGCACCCCGGCCAGTGGCGTCAACTGACTCAGCACCGGACTCCGAGCTGCACCACACACAGAGGGTAGTTAGTATTGGGATACTACCACCAAGCATTTAGCCTACACTTAAGGTATAGCCTCAGCGCGAGCAGCACTGCCAGAGCTATCAGCACCAGAGACAGCACGACCCCAGCCAGCACCCCGGCCAGTGGCGTCAACTGACTCAGCACCGGGCTCCGAGCTGCACCACACACAGGGTAGTTAGTATTGGGATATTACCACCAAGCATTTAGCCTACACTTAAGGTATAGCCTCAGCGCGAGCAGCACTGCCAGAGCTATCAGCACCAGAGACAGCACGACTCCTGCCAGCACCCCGGCCAGTGGCGTCAACTGACTCAGCAACGGACTCCGAGCTGCACCACACACAGGGTAGTTAGTATTGGGATATTACCACCAAGCATTTAGCCTACACTTAAGGTATAGCCTCAGCGCGAGCAGCACTGCCAGAGCTATCAGCACCAGAGACAGCACGACCCCTGCCAGCACCCCGGCCAGTGGCGTCAACTGACTCAGCAACGGACTCCGAGCTGCACCACACACAGAGGGTAGTTAGTATTGGGATACTACCACCAAGCATTTAGCCTACACTTAAGGTATAGCCTCAGCGCGAGCAGCACTGCCAGAGCTATCAGCACCAGAGACAGCACGACCCCAGCCAGCACCCCGGCCAGTGGCGTAAACTGACTCAGCAACGGACTCCGAGCTGCACCACACACAGGGTAGTTAGTATTGGGATATTACCACCAAGCATTTAGCCTACACTTAAGGTATAGCCTCAGCGCGAGCAGCACTGCCAGAGCTATCAGCACCAGAGACAGCACGACCCCTGCCAGCACCCCGGCCAGTGGCGTCAACTGACTCAGCACCGGACTCCGAGCTGCACCACACACAGGATAGTTAGTATTGGGATATTACCCCCAAGCATTTAGCCTACACTTAAGGTATAGCCTCAGCGCGAGCAGCACTGCCAGAGCTATCAGCACCAGAGACAGCACGACTCCTGCCAGCACCACGGCCAGTGGCGTCAACTGACTCAGCACCTCAAGTCCCGTGCTCTAACTACTCCTCAAAATAAGGAATGAATAAGACGGACTCTTGTCATAAGTCATAAATCCTACTTTTTTTATAAAACACCTTACATCGAAAGCTGTAAAAAACGAGTAAATCTTTTTCCTAGATTCAAGATATACAAAACCACCATAATCACTTACAGAGCTGCAGCGGAAAGCTGTCTATGCGTCTGTCAGGTTTGAGCGTGGCGACAGAGAGCATGCTGACGTCACTGCGGCCCTTGGAGTTGTGAGCGTAGAGGAGCAGGTCGAGGAGCTGGCCTGGGGCGAGGCCCTGCAGGGCGAAGCTCGGGGTCTCCCTCGATAGGTTTGTGACCAGAGTCTGAGATGCGGAGTCGTACACCTCCACCTGGAACGTCTGGGAGATCCCACCGTCGAAGCCTGCATCACACTCTATCTGAACACTGTCGTCCGTTTGGTTTACCATTGAACAGTTCCCTACACTGTCTGGTCTGCCTGGAACGACAAGGATACAGATTCATCAGACACAATCAATATTATGTCTACCTTTTGAATAAACCCTATTGTGATAGCAATCTTTTAAAACCGTAACAGGGCGATCACCTTGTTAATTCAGCTTAAATCCTCCGCCCATTTTTGACTCAAAATATGGACGAACAAAAATGTCCTTAATTTCCTGACTTCTACATTCTAGAATTTCATTATAACACACCAGCTGGAATTATGTGGAAGACGCAGGGTTCCTGCTGAGGGCCCAGGTGGTTGCGAGAGTGACACAGTAAGGTGCCGTAGTCAGCCCCGGACCTGGGGGTGTAGAGGGCGGTGCTGCGTGAGCGATCTGTCGTCCAGTTAGAGTGTGGCAACTCCACCAGGCCGCTGCCGCTGGTACTGTTGACCCACCAGAAGAACTGCAAGTCTGCAGGATTGGCGTCCATGTCACACACTACCTTAGCCGTCTCCCGGCGACCCACCCCTACCGTGGCGTCCGGGTGTCTACACACGGGTCGATCTGTGGGCATACAATCATCAGCTGATGGGATCTCTCTGTACCATTTTAAAAAGAATATTGAAGGATTTTCTCTAAAACTATTTGAAGAACTTCAATAATTACATTTTAAATCTTTTGTCATTGGTCTCAAATGTGAAAGATCTTTCAAATGTTAAATGTTATACAGGATGCATTTCGTAAACCGTCCACGAACTGTAGCTTACATGAATATATCATTTTAATAATAAATTAGAAAAATTAATCTGATTTTGCTAAGTAATAAATGTAAAAAACTGTCGTTAAACGGGAAGGCTTAAATCGACATTTCAAAACAGATAGGCCTATTGATTTTAGGGATTGCTTTATTTACTTATGTTTCTACAATCATTTAAAAGTGTATTGGTGAAGTTTTAAAATAACAAGTTTATTTCCACTAAACGTTAATCTCCGCTACCCACAATATAAATTAAATTCACCACCGATACAGAGCATTTATATCACATCCTACCCAGACAGCACACTTTCTCCTCAGGACATCCCACGGATATTGCGACAGGATATGCAAGATATCCCATAGTGGTCCTATGGACAACTTGGGATATCACAGGATATCCACAGGAATGCCTAATGTCCCCGCCCGGGGATGTCCTACGGATAAGCTCACACGCATATCCGTGGGACATCCGAGGTCATCCCAGGGTAGTCCTCAGGACATTCTCAGGACATATGGGACTACTATGGGATGTCCCTGGGATAAAGTGTGGTCTGGGACACAAAATAATATAGATTTAGTATGAAAAGCTTAATTATAAGTTTAGTAAATTGATTAAATAGTTAATAAACACAAATTTTGAAGAAAAAAACGAGAAAAAAGTTTTTGGCCCAGACGGGTTTTGAACCTGGTACCTTCGCCTTGTGAGCCTCTTACCTTACCTCCTGAGCTATCTGCGCTTGTTGATTATGGGTGTTTTCAAGTGGTTAAAGAGTAGCCGACAGTTGCAATGGTCGCAATACTTAAAATATTTTTGATACTACAGTATAGGCTATATATGATTCTGTTAATCTGTTTAGGCCTCAAGTAGTTGAATTGTTTTTCTGGTAGTTGGAGAGGATACTGGTATTTGAATATAGATTATTTAATCACCATTAGATTAGCACTGTAATAATTGATTGTTATATGATTAAAATTAGTTTTTGTTGTTTTTTTAATTTAAAGTTAGAATTAAATTCACATTCCACACAACTATGATAGAACTCTAGTTTTCCTGAACTCAGTGGTAGTAATATGTCAGTAAAGTAAAGTCAACCCTTGCTAGCCATAGTATTAACAAGACATATTTTCAATCTGGGAAACCTTAAACTTTTAAAATAAATTATAAAACCTCAACATCTTAATGCGTGGGAATCTTATTTTTAGAAAAAAAACAGACCAAAATTATTTGTTAAATAATGAAGACGGCCCAATTATAAATTCGGAATTACTGAAAATAATTACATCAAGAACAACACTGTAACATATCAAAAATTAAAAGATTAATTTTTCTAATATTATTTTTTATTTTTCCAATATCCTTTAAATCATCTGTTTTAACTTTGTTTAAAATTAATTTATTAAGTAAATATTTACTTTTTGTACTAGTGTAAACACAGCCTGAAGATGGAAACCAAGTTTCTGAAAGCACTAGTGAAAAAAACAAATTATTATATATTGGCCTTGTTGAACATTTAAATTTAGATATACTGTACATTTCATCAGTGGTAGTATTTTTTTCTTCAGTTTGTTACCGGGACATTACAGGATATCCAGTGGATTTTGCACATGTCCCGGGATGTCATGGGACATTCTGGGATATCATATGGCATTCGTACATATCCCGGGACTTTACAGGATATCCTGAGGTTAACTTACAAATCCCGGGACATTACGGTATATTGTAGGATATCCTGTGGATTTCGTACTCGTCCCGGGATTTTGCGGGATATCCTGAGGATAGCGCACATATCCCGAGACATTCTCAGGACATATGGGACTAATATGGGATGTCCCTGGGATAAAGTGTGCTGTCTGGGTAATTGGATGACCTGTAGTGTATCGCTGTAAAAAGTGATTTAATGTTGCGGATTTCAATTTATAAAACAACACCGTGCATGCTTGGAAATATAACGAAATCGCAACGACCGTCGCATCGCATCGACTCAATTAATTGGGTTTACGATGTTCACCACCAGTGCGTCCATAAATTCAATGTTTCAATGTAAAAGCTAAGGGAAACAGAACTTTGTTCTAGTTTCAGGTTTTTAAAGATTACCTCGAATACTCGAATATTTAAGCATTAATTTCATGCTTTCATTACATAGCGTTATTCTCTGCTTTAATATATTGTTAAAGTGTCAAACTAGGGTTTAACTGTTACAGTAAATGATACTTTATTTTGGAAAAAGTGGCATACCTCACTATCGAAAATGTTACTTATAGAAATATGCAACACGACTGTGTTAGAAAACTGGCAGACAAATCAAACATTAGTCTTCCCAGGCTAATAAAATAACTACAATGGTTTGCTTGAACGTGTACTTCAAGTAAACAAAACTAACTCTATGAGTAGTCACAGTTAGTTTTTATAGTTACAAATCTTGACAACCATTCTAGCACCATTCTTGGGCTATACATGGATGGGTCATGACATAACAGTTTCATTATTTTGCATCAGACGTAATGAACTGTTTTGCGAAAAACCGAGTGCTTAGTGGTCAGTATTAACAAGTACCAGCCTACAGGCTCCTTAGGCCCCGTTTATGCACCAAGAGCGGGAGCGGGGCGATAGCGGGCCCGCTCCCACTGTGAAAATTTTGTCAAAATTGTGGTTGGTCAACGGAGAATGGAAGGGGGACACAGTCTTGCCAACTCAAACTCTGCCACATAATTAACACAGCTATTTGTCCTAAGTGCACGTGCGCGTGGGTCAAGTTGGCAACCCTGGCTGCAGCCGCTCCCGCTCCCGCCGTGCATAAACAGTCTCATTTGACTCAATGTAGTTGAAGACCGCTCTATCCCAAGCAACCGAACCGCTGCGATTTCTAACTACACAGCGGTCGAATTAGAAACCGCAGCGGGAGGTCAACCGCTACCGCTATCGCTCTTCGTGCATAAACAGCCCCATTTAACTCAATGGTGTTGAAAATCGCTACCGCTCCCGCTCTTGTTACATAAACGGGGCCTTACGTTCATGAAAACTACTTTTTGCTGACTCTTTCACATCTAGTTTTAAATGTTGAGTGATGAACAGTTTTCACTAACGTTTAACTTGTACATAAATTCTTCAAATTGATTTTATATTTACCATCCACTTTAATAGTCAATATTTACCATGCCCTCAATGTTAAGAGGACTTGTGCTTACTACGTGGTCTTTAACGCTGCAGAGTACATAGTTTTGATCACGCATTGTCCCGTATGGCCGACTATCTGTCAAGTGTATAGTCTATGCATTCAGTGTAGTAGGCTTACTTACATTTGACGTCTAGGTAGACAGTGTTGCTCTCGCCCACGCCCTCGCTGTTCACTGCCAGACAAGTGTAGCGACCGGCGCGCTGTCTGGTGACGTCCTGTAGCACCAGACTCTGTCTGTCTGTTAAGTGTATAGTCTATGCATTCACTGTAGTAGGCTTACTCACATTTGACGTCTAGGTAGACAGTGTTGCTCTCACCCTCGCCCTCGCTGTTCACTGCCAGACAAGTGTAGCGACCGGCGCGCTGTCTGGTGACGTCCTGCAGCACCAGACTCTGTCTGTCTGTTAAGTGTATAGTCTATGCATTCAGTGTAGTAGGCTTACTCACATTTGACGTCTAGGTAGACAGTGTTGCTCTCGCCCTCACCCTCGCTGTTCACTGCCAGACAAGTGTAGCGACCGGCGCGCTGTCTGGTGACGTCCTGTAGCACCAGACTCTGTCTGTCTGTTAAGTGTATAGTCTATGCATTCAGTGTAGTAGGCTTACTCACATTTGACGTCTAGGTAGACAGTGTTGCTCTCGCCCTCACCCTCGCTGTTCACTGCCAGACAAGTGTAGCGACCGGCGCGCTGTCTGGTGACGTCCTGCAGCACCAGACTCTGTCTGTCTGTTAAGTGTATAGTCTACGCATTCACTGTAGTAGGCTTACTTACATTTGACGTCTAGGTAGACAGTGTTGCTCTCACCCTCACCCTCGCTGTTCACTGCCAGACAAGTGTAGCGACCGGCGCGCTGTCTGGTGACGTCCTGCAGCACCAGACTCTGTCTGTCTGTTAAGTGTATAGTCTACGCATTCACTGTAGTAGGCTTACTTACATTTAACGTCTAGGTAGACAGTGTTGCTCTCACCCTCACCCTCGCTGTTCACTGCCAGACAAGTGTAGCGACCGGCGCGCTGTCTGGTGACGTCCTGCAGCACCAGACTCTGGTTGCTGACCAATACACCGCCCTTGGAGTTGCTCATTATCTCTTGGCCCTGCAACAAGCATTACATTAACATCGTAGCGTTTTTGAATAAAATGCTGACGATTCTTACCTGCAGAAAAAAATTACATTGAGCGTTGAGTAAAACAAGTTGCATATCAAAATGGAGGCGCACATGGTTGTTTACATATTTTCATAAATAATTGTATGGTTTATTCTGTAATGGGATTTGCAATACAACTAAAAGCTATTTGTTTTGTAGATATATGTATTTACAACTTGCGGTGTGCGCCAAAGAATGTAATGACATGATTAAAAGCTAGGAAACCCTTTTAAACATTTAATACTATTCGCATTTTTATGTTTTTGAAGGGGAACTATCCAAACCTTGGACATGTTACTAACTAAGGTCGACTTTTGTTCGTTAGCGTCATTAGTTGATGATCCAATAGCCAAGTGCTCCTCCTATTGCTTCCAGATTGAACTCTCTTGGGATGAACCGTGAACCTTGAGATATCCATACAATAAATAGACCTTGTAGCCAATCTGTGAATATCCAGTCCTCTGTCAGTTACACTTTATTCTGTGCCAGTCTCCAGGATAGACGTTCCAGAAGCTCTACAGTAACCAAAAACCACCAGACCACCCGCACCCGAAACCTTTCAGAATAAATTACGCTAATGGACAGGCTTACTACTATTATAAACTAAAACGTTTGTATGACAAAAATACAATATTTGTTTAAAAGTATACTTACATTATGTAGCCAACTGATCTGAGACGCCCAAGGGTTTGACTTTATGTTACATTCAAAGTAGACATCCATCCCCTCCTGTATAGAACTGGCGTTGATGCTGCTGCCCATCTCCAGCGATACTATAGGCACATCTGCAACAGACACGTATATCTGATCATGATCACATTCTAAAACACAACACTCCTGTATAAAGCTGGCGTTATTGCTGCTGTCCATCTCCAACTATACTATAAGCACATCTGCAACAGACACGTATATGTGATCATGATCACATTCTAAAACACAACACTCCTGTATAAAGCTGGCGTTATTGCTGCTGCCCATCTCCAGCGATACTATAGGCACATCTGCAAAAGACACGTATATGTGATCATCACAAACTAAAACACAACCCTCCTGTATAAAGCTGGCGTTATTGCTGCTGCCCATCTCCGGCGATACTATAGGCACATCTGCAAAAGACACGTATATGTGATCATTACAAACTAAAACACAACCCTCCTGTATAAAGCTGGCGTTATTGCTGCTGCCCATCTCCAGCAATACTATAGGCACATCTGCAAAAGACACGTATATGTGATCATCACAAACTAAAACACAACCATCCTGTATAAAGCTGGCGTTATTGCTGCTGCCCATCTCCAGCGATACTATAGGCACATCTGCAAAAGACACGTATATGTGATCATTACAAACTAAAACACAACCCTCCTGTATAAAGCTGGCGTTATTGCTGCTGCCCATCTCCAGCGATACTATAGGCACATCTGCAAAAGACACGTATATGTGATCATTACAAACTAAAACACAACCCTCCTGTATAAAGCTGGCGTTATTGCTGCTGCCCATCTCCAGCGATACTATAGGCACATCTGCAAAAGACACGTATATGTGATCATTACAAACTAAAACACAACCCTCCTGTATAAAGCTGGCGTTATTGCTGCTGCCCATCTCCAGCGATACTATAGGCACATCTGCAAAAGACACGTATATGTGATCATTACTATCTAAAACACAACCCTAATGTATAGAGCTGGCGTTATTGCTGCTGCCCATCTCCAACAATACTATAGGCACATCTGCAACAGACACGTGAATGTGATCATGGTCACAATCTAAAACACAAGACCCTGTGGTATGGCCCAGGTGATGGCGTTACATTCGGGCAATATTTTATTCCTATATTCCTATATCCTATAATTCCTATATTTTATGAGAATAACATAAAAAATACTTCTATCAAACAGCTTTTAAAATAGCATCTAATGTAATTTATTACGTAATAATTAAAAAAATAACATTTGAATGGAGATAAATATAACCTTATTTTAAGTATTTCTACAATAATATTTGTCTTTTTTGTTAAATTCATAAAACGAGTGGAATATTATAATATTTTATTTAGTTCATAAAGGTAATAACAAATTCCTTTTAATTGCTTTAATATTTTTGAACACAATTTAACTTGTATATGGATTTTTTTTAACGTGTTAAATACGTAAGGCATTTTAGATTAGTTTTTCAAAGTACAATAACGGTAAACTGTTCATGCTCTAATTTTATTTTTAGAAAAATAAATTATATATATAAATATAAATTAATTAGTAATAAAGTGTATTTACTAATTTTAGAGGACAGTTTTAATTTCTGGGACCTTTCAGAGCTGGCCATTGTATATTAAAAGGATAAACTGTCGTCATTTATCTTGACATCCTAAAGGCGTTTGAAAAGCTCTTTCACCGCGCTTCGTCTCCGAAAACATTTTTGAGGCTTGGGCTATGTATGTAACCCTAGAAAACTTAAAAAATATTCTTACCGTATCCAAACTATTAAAAATCTCATATAAATGAAACAAGCTTGCTTTTAACACATTAGTACAAATATATATTTTAATACCCCGCCGCAGCAAACCTGCCAAGCCGGGAAATTCCATTTGCCTGAATTGATTTTCAATTAATTAAATCTATTTACATAACAGTAGGTTTAACGAGTACCTGGGTTTGCTGCCACAGAAAAACTAATAAAGTGTGTTTTTAGTAAATTATTAATAGCTTAGTATAAAAAATCCAAGTTTGATCAAAATATCTCCATAAACAAGCAAACTACAACATTTTTCTATATTCTCCATAAGAGTAACATGGGAATTATCAAATTATTTTTTTTTTATCCGTAACTAATAACCATACAAAAAAACTTTGATATACTGAATTAATTGGTTTTTTAAGGTCTTTAAAAAGGTCTAGAGAGTAATTGGGAAATTCTGTGTTTCGTGGGTCAACAATGAGATAAAACAATTTTTAACCCATACATCCCCGTTTCCATGGTCCGATCATGCTGATTTGCGAACTCATCGAAGTTTATCCCACATCGTGTCACCTACGGTAATAGCTACTTCCCCATAGGGAAATTCGCTAATAATGCCAATACAACAGTATTGTGATTGTATTTATTTCAGAAAATGGTTAAAATGATATCATACATGGTTAATTACACCCACATGATTCGTACAAAGCAAGGGGAGTTACACCTTATAAAGTGTCGTAGTAGTAGATGGTTAGCTGAACGATATGTCACTAAATTGTGTTTAATAGTCATTTGTTGTCAAACAATTTTGAACCAAACTTACAAGCACTCACGTTGTTATACAAATTTTTTAAACACGTTATATGTGGATATTTACTTATCTCGATCTGTTGAATAAATCTCCACATCTCGTTATTTAGATATTTTTATATAATTTATTATAGTTTTTTCAACAAATTTTAATTACAAATTATGAAGCAAAGAAACTAAAAATAGGTATATATTAGAGGGACATTGGCATCATTAGCATATAATTAATAATTATGCCATGATTACTTAATATTACTTAAAACGTTTGTACAAAAAGTAAAGTGATGGAAACTGCAATTTCAGTACGAATTCTCATGGCGCTTTTTTACAATATTTCACTGTCATATGATACTCCTACTGTCTGTTATTACTTTCTCAATATCACAACATGTTTCGGCAACTACCGTAATGTAGTATCTTGACAGAATATAACCTATATAAACGTCTACGACTCTTTTCGTAGGTTATTTTACTGCCATTGTTCCTAAGCTCATTAGCATATTATTCGTTTCTATATATAAAATAAACATATTTATTTTACTTCCATTTAATTATGACTACTTTGAATGACGTATCACTAAAGCCAAAATAGTTGGTACATTCGAAAAAATAATTATGACGTAATTGGTATTTTCTAAGTATAACTATAAATGTAGGCTCTATAAATCCTTCAACGATAATGAAAACTCGAAACATCAAACACATACATTTAATTGCAAGCTAGAAAGCTATGTGTTGTTTAAACCCTAATTAGAAAGAAAAGTAAACACAGTGGTGTATACTACTTGGGCATACAGGCGTTAGTAACATACTGATAGGCAGTAGACACTCCTATATTTATTTATTTTACAACAAAAATGCTACGAAAAAGAATTATGTCAATTATATTTTTGCATTACACATAAAAAAAATTACAAGAATAATCAAAATACAATATAAATATAATTAGGGAAAAAGGTCTGTCTTCACTGGTTGCAGTTTTCAAACAATTTAATCCAAAATATAAATATAAGAATGACAATATAATAATTAAATATATTACAACAACAAGAACTTTTACTAGACAAAATAATACTGATGGTTATAAATCAAGCATATATTAAACCAATTGAACGAATGAAAATTACCCAACTGGTACTGCTAAATAAATATGTTGTTAAAAATTAATTCAAGCCACAAAATAGATTTTTCCTACAGTCACCCGACAAAGTTGGCTTCCTTGTTCTGTTTATAGCACAGAAAGCTGCTAATTGCTGCATATTTATACTTTGCCGTACGGTTTATACTTTGCCGTACGGTTTATACTTTGCCGTACGGTTTATACTTTGCCGTACGGTTTACACTTTGCCGCACATCAGGATTCCAACGAAACAACACAAAAAAGCGTGGTTCTATTATGCACGTAATCCGTGTACACTTTAAAATAAGTTGGAAACAAAGATACTACGGCTACGACCAACTGGTGTAGTGTTTCGTATTTCGTTCAATCCTTGGATTTAACCTAAACTAAAAACGTATTGTATAGTGTTTGAAAGAGTAATAATTATTTATACTAGTGGTCGTCCATTGTTCGAAAATTTGACCAAATATATATAATGTACAGGCTTCTCTATTTTCACCCCACGCTGTAAATAAAATATGTGATTGTAATTTCTTCTATTTGTTTTAATTTTCTGTTTATATTTTGTTGTTATTTTGTCACCAGCATGACAACCCATAAGGCCCATGTTCTTGCCTATTATTATGTATATAGATGCCTTATAGTAACTGAGGGAAAATATAATGTGTACGCGAGTGCAAAGTACCACTTTGCACACTAGTTACACAAATAACCATAGTAAAATAATCTTAAGTGTAACACATATTATTATGGTAGCGGTTGAAAACGTAATGTCATTCCTGTCTATTACTTTACTCACGGTAAATGTCTAACTGCCAACCGTCCTCGACACTGGTGTCGGATATAAGTGGTGTGTTGGCTCGGCAACTCAAGATCTTGCCAGAGTCCTCGATGGTAGGCACGAACTGTAGCGTGCTCACCGTCCTGTTGCCATCTGAGGACGTCTGCAACACAAGAACGATCAAAAGATAGGACAATCCTAGCAGATACACAGGATCTTGCCAGCCAGAGTCCTCGATGGTAGGCACGAACAGTAGCGTGCTCACCGTCCTGTTGCCATCTAAAGATGTCTGTAACACAAGAACGATCAAAAGATAGGACGTCATAGCAGATACACAGGATTTTGCCAGCCAGAGTCCTCGATGGGAGATACGAACTGTAGTGTTCTCACCGTCCTTTTGCCATCTGAGGACGTCTGTAACACAAGAACGATCAAAAGATAGGACAATCATAGCAGATACACAGGATCTTGCCAGAGTACTCGATGGGAGATACGAACTGTAGCGTTCTCACCGTCCTTTTGCCATCTGAAGACGTCTGTAACACAAGAACGATCAAAAGATAGGACAATCATAGCAGATACACAGGATCTTGCCAGAGTACTCGATGGGAGATACGAACTGTAGCGTTCTCACCGTCCTTTTGCCATCTGAAGACGTCTGTAACACAAGAACGATCACAAGATAGGACGATCGTAGCAGATACACAGGATCTTGCCAGCCAGAGTCCTCGATGGTAGATACGAACTGTAGCGTGCTCACCGTCCTTTTGCCATCTGAGGACGTCTGTAATACAAGAACGATCACAAGATGGGACTATCATAGCAGATACACAGGATCTTGCCAGCCAGAGTCCTCGATGGTAGGCACGAACTGTAGCGTGCTCACCGACCTGTTGCCATCTGACGACGTCTAATACAAGAAAATCACGAGATGGGACGATGTTATGAGGTGGTAGGACGTCTGTAATAATATTGAACTCACATAGAGTTATGAAAGAGTTATCCTTTGTATTCACCTATCACAGACATTATTAGAAAGTAAAATGAGTGCAATATGAATAGAAATATAAATGGTCATAACTATAATTTCTTTTTCATGCTTTTTAACATAAAAAAACTTTTAATTTATTTTTCTTAACAGATCAATGTCTTAAGTAGTAGATATGCAGTACTAAACGACATGTCACGAAGTTAAATCAATACTCAAAGATTTGTATAATTTGTTGATAATTAGTAATCACAGCGTCGCCGTTGATTCTTGGGACTACTGTAGTAACAATTAAAGTACAGTAGTGTCTTAACTCCATAAAGGGTTTTAGTGATACATAACACCAAAATACAAGTTTTCCTAATTAAGGTATTTTATATTGTGTTCAACGTGTTTTAGCTAATTTTATATATAGGTAATAAGCTATTACCGTAGTACTCGTGGTAAGACCTGGACCCGGAACCGATTTACTTTTTCGTTTTGAGGTCCCTAGAGACAAAACACATTACCCGTTTTATATATATATATATAAACCCCATGTTGTTTTAATGGGAAAAGTTTTATTCTGTTGCGAATTTATAATAAAAAATAAGAAAAATGAATAGTTTTCCCTCAAAATTAACGTCAAGACCTTTAAAATAAGACCCCTCCCATCCTTCTACGGCCATCCAGTCACTCACAATTTCTTTACAAAAATTTGACTTACGGAATTATATATAGAGATATATATATATATATAAATGTGGGTGTGTGTGTGTGTGTGTAAGCACGATAACTCTAGCAAAAATGATCCGATTTTAATGCAATTTGGTAAACGAGTAAACCTACATTAATTCGAACGAGTTCACGAACCAGCATGATCGGACTATGATGTTTATTGGGTAAAAATTGAGTTTACCCATTTTGACCCTAAAAACATAAAATTTTGCATTTTCTTTTCAAACCATTTCATAGAGCTTAAAAGACCAATTTATTTAGTATATTGAAGCATGATTATGCGCCTAATAGTTACGGAGAAAATTCAAATAATAGTAAATTTAAAATCCCTATGTTATTCTTATTCTCCACTAGCTGTGTTGTACCCGTGATTTGCAACGGGAAGAGGACCTGAAATCGAAACATTTCGATCTTTACATCTGTGTATAAAATATACACATCCGCCAACGCTTTTACAAACAAAATTCAACCCTAATGGTCTTTGTGTCAATGCGGAAAGGGACTAGGTTTCTGCACTGTCAGAAAGGGACCAGGTTTCTGCACTGTACGTAACAACAGGCCTAATGAGAGTTTTGTAAAGCTTCATCTTTGTCTTGCGAGGCATCAGCTTGGATTTCAGGATCTTAAGGTTAGCATGATCTGTTACCAGCCATGATTCAGTTTGTGATTTCTTGCGCAACAGTGATTTTGCTATTCAACTCTGCCCCAAGGTAAACAAACCTATCCACACCCTTAAGGTAACACAGTGTACTCAAATATAAATTTTTTTTAATTTTTTTTATTATTTAGTTTTGTAGAACAGACTTTTCTGAACACGTACCGTAGATAATAAAAATTAAGGAAGAAAAAAAAAATATTTTAAATATTTTCAGCTACTTTTATAAACGATTGCAGCCTAATTTAGCATGTCCAAGGTCCTACTACTAATCAAGACGCAGAGGGTACGCTGTCAAATATTAAATTTTTTTTTAAATTTTTTTTTTTTTAATCCATGTGTGTAGCCCCTGAGCTGTTGGACATAATGTAAGATTAAATTACTTACGTAATTCCCGTCACAGCTCAATAAAATATGTCTATTCAGGACATGTTTCGGTGTTAAAACACCATCGTCAGCTTCAGGTACATAGTGTGGAGTTGATCAGTTGTTAACATCATCAGAAGATAAACACAGTACGGACACGAATAAATACATAAAACAATGAAACATTTAAAAAACAGGCCTGTTCTAACAAAAATGACCGACCGCACAGGTAGTCTGTCCCTTGCTACCTGTGCGGTCGGTCATTTTTGTTAGAACAGGCCTGTTTTTTTTAATGTTTCATTGTTTTATGTATTTATTCGTGTCCGTACTGTGTTTATCTTCTGATGATGTCAACAACTAATCAACTCCACACTATGTACCTGAAGCTGACGATGGTGTTTTAACACCGAAACATGTCCTGAATAGACATATTTTATTGAGCTGTGACGGGAATTACGTAAGTAATTTAATCTTACATTAAAATTTTTTATTATATAGTTTTGTAGAACACACTTTTCTGAACACGTACATACCAAATATTATAGAAGAAAAAAATATTTTAAGCTATACAGCGACTTTTATACACTCTTACTTTAGCATGCCCAAGGGTCCTACTACTACCCGTGACAGGGGGTACTTTTGTCGTTTTCCGAAAGTCAAGTGGTTTTTAGTCAGGTACACTTTTCTTCCTCAATTATAATCCGATTTCAATAAAAAATTGGTGTGTGTGTTCCTAATATGATAAGGAACAATAATACGAATCAGTTTCCATGACAACCAAAAATCTTTGAAATAAAAAAATATTTTATGTTAAAAAATTACAAAATCCTACTAATATTATAAATGAGAAAGTTTGGATGTATGGATGTATGTTTGTGACAAGTGAACGCGAAAAATACTGGTCGGATTGGGCTGAAATTTGGCATGATGATAGCTCACATTCCCGATTAACATATAGGCATATTCTTATTTCAAAAACCCTTTCGGGCTCCACCCCAGTGGCTCTGGAGTTTCCCATGTTAACCTTATGAGGAATGGAATTATTGAATCTTAACAGCTGTTTCAATTAAACAAGTTGGTTCTGTTCTATGATGTTCAATAGCATTAAAGTTACAAGGATTACCAACAGGGTGCAGCACTATTATTTCTTTTACATTTATGACAACAGGTAATTTGCAACCAAAAGGTGAGTGAGCGTAGCGAACGAACTTCAACCTGGAGGCGAGTTAGCGTAGCGAACGAGCTAACCTGAATGCAAGTGAGCGCAACGAACGAGCTCCAACCTAAAGGTGAGTGAGCGTAGCGAACAAACTTCAACCAGGACGTGATTGAGCCATGCGAACGAGATAATCTTGAAAATTAAGAAGTTAAACGGGGCAAAGCCCGCGCGGGTTAAAGCTAGTATTTTATAAAATTTTTAAAATGATACTAACAGTTTAATTTTGCTCAAAATCTTTCTTTGCTTCATATTATTGTTGGTAATAAAGTATTAAACTTAGTACAAAAATTTCAAGTTGATAGGTTAATATTTGTAAAAGTTATGTGTACCTAAAAACTGTCATTTTAACATAGGGAGTACTGTGTCACCTTAACACATTTGTTATATATATTTAGTACTTATTATTTAATTTATACATAAAATTGAGCATTTAAGATGGCAGACTAAACTAATGATTATCAAAACATCAAGATCAAGGACGAATAAAATTTAATAGTAATACGGTACTGTATATGTTTCATTGCATCTATGATTTTACTCTAAAAAATATCAACGAACAACATAATATACAAACCAGTTCTTTTATTTAGTCCCATAGTCCTTTTTCATTACATTTTCACACTTACCATTGAGTAAACATAGTAACAGACATAGTTGATTTTAGAAACAAAAGAACACTGTGTACAGCTAAGTTTTATGATATTTTCCTTAGTTTGATTTAATCATTGATGTACCATGGAGACAAATCAATATTTACTTTTAAAATCCTCACCTCAGAACTTTAAAGCCAAAGGGGCAAAGCCCACGGTCAGTATCAAAGTGTGAATAGTCCTATAATGGTCCTTGGTATGGTAGCTATATTTTTGTAAAAGTTAAGCCTAGTTGGTTCAGTAGTTTGTGTACCTATTAGTAATACACATACAGACAGACACCATTAGATTTTTTAGATAATAGTATAGATATAGATAAATAACTGTTGTAGTTTGCTTGTTTATGAATATATGTTGATACAATTTTGAAAATGCATTTATTTCATACTAAAATACATAGTGTATTAACATTTCACAAAAAACACATTTTTCAACCCTTCCTGTTGCAGCAAACCTAAGTACTTGTTAAACTAATGCTATTTAAATAGGGAATCATTTTGTGATATTTTAAAGTAGATATTTTAATGTAAATCCAATCAAGCAAATGGAAATTCCCTTAGTATGCAGGTTTTTTTTAACCTCTCTGTCTGTAGGTGTTTTTGCTTCTCTTTCCTATAGTAGGTATGTGGAGAAAGTATTGTTTAGTCAACATATTCGATTTAGGGTTTTTTTGTCCTAGGACGCTAGGCACGAGCATGGGATTGTTTTTCACATTACTTTAGGCTAGACCTAGGGGTTGCGGCATTATCACTTAGATAAAATCCATTGGTGATTTGGCGGGGATCGAACCCGGGACTTCAGGGACTGAAGTCCCGCCCTCTAACCACTACGCTAGCTCACTCCCCATTCGATCAAGGGTAGAAATATCAGTTTTGAGTCCACATGAACCCTAAACAGTTGTTTTCGAAGTGATGTATGCATGCATGCGTGCTTGCTTAGGTGCGTCTGTGTGTGTATGTGTATGTGTACAGAGGTACAGACTACATCTGGGGGCGGATTTCGATGAGATTTTGTATGTGGTAACTATTTCATTGTATCTCCAAGAATGGCCTTCATTTATACAAATTTTTAATTTTTATCGTGAATTTCCCATTCAAACCCATAAAAAAACAGAAAAATCTAATTTTTCCATAGGCTGGCTCGAACGATTGAAATTTAAATTTAGTATGATATGGTAATTTTTTACCATCAAAATGGCATAACCACTGCTGTAAATAGTACGATTCCAAAATTATTGATTTTTTTATATCACCCATAAAAACATAGTTACTCCCACCACCCATGATAAGGGTTGTTTGCAAGCTAAAAGGAGAAAGCGTGTCAGTTTAATTGCTGGGGCGCCATAAAACATCAATTGTGCTTTTACATATTGGGACAAGCTTTTAAGTGGCATTGCAGGCTCATCAACTATTCATAAACATGAATTCAAAACCTAAATGATCGAATCCCATTGGGAAACAGCCGCTGTCTCTTTAGGCGAAGCATTAGCTTTTAGGTTATAATTACATTATTCATTTTCAATTTAGTACACATCTAGAAAAAACTACTAATTCAAATTTCTGATTATGTCATTACAACATTTTAATTGTAACCACTAATGATCATTAAAAGCTGTTAGTACTCAGGGTTTTTACAAAGTACAGTTGGTTTTAGCGAATTTCCCATGAATAAATGAATGAGTGATTAATTACGTTAAATTGGCTAATATAGTACACATGTTTACAATTTTAACTATAACTATTAAGTTTTACAAAACATAAAATAATGAAGAAAACAGAAAGAAAATATAACAAAGTTGTGAACCATGTAGGGAATAAGCTATTACTGTAGGCCTCATCTCATGGTAAGATCTGGTCCCGGGGGGGGGGGGGGGGGGGGTATCATATACTGTATGAAATACCATGATAAAGTAATACGGAGTTGGACAATAATGACAGATATTACAAAGATTGGTTTACATACAGTTTAGACCACCAAAAATTGTTTATCCGTAAAGCAAGTTATATATATATAACCGCCGGCTTTGACGCTTGGTGGCACCCAAGTTACACTATAGTCCATAACACTTTGCCACCGTGTTCAAACTTTTTACTTAAGATTTAAGAATATGAGCTCATACTTAAGTAAATATTTTAAAACTTATCGGGTAGTTGGTTATAAAAAACATTATTGCCTATTTCCGTCGGTCGTTTTACAACTAAAAATAAAATAATATCAATAAAAATATTGATATACTATCGGTAATTATATCATAGTCATCGTTTGCGTCCATTTGACGAACACATAGTTTAGTTTAACATGAGTACTAGAACAGAAACTGTATGGATCATAAACATAAACAAAGGATGTTACTGGCCTGAAGATAAACATAATTTAGCATTGCTCAAATGGAACTGTCCAAACCATACGTTATTCGTATAAGATTCTGGCCAATTACGTCATTTGTGGATGTATAATTATGTTCCATACCATTTTTGTTATAATATTTGTGTAGTTTTACTTTATAAACATTAAGCTGTATCAAAAACGTAAACAATCGCTATGCAACAGCCAATCGACTGATCTACCGCCACAAACTTTACCTATACTGTTGACGGTTTTCATGGTAAGAAAAAAGACCATGACCCTTGACATTTTACAGATAGATAAGACCATTTTTTTAGCTAACCCTGGTGTAATATGACGTTGGAATTAGCTGTGTACGTACGTTCTCCTTGGTGTGTCTAAGGGGGATGCTGCCTTTCCACCAGGACACCAGAGGGGGAGGTCGGGCGCCGACCACCTCACAGCGCAGCTCGTGGGACTGGTCTGCGGACAGAGGCACGTTGTCTCCCAGCAGTCGTACCCATAGAGGCCGCACTGTACACACACATACAGTATACAGTATACATGACACACGCACCTTTCTAACAAACAAACATTGTAAACACTGTGCATATTGTATGTAACTCACAGTTGACGTCCAAGGTGACGGCGGTGGAGATTGGCGCCGCGTAGTGGTTGTCGGACGCCTGACACGTGTATGCAGTATACAGTATACATGACACACGCACCTTTCTACCAAACAAACATTGTAAACACTGTGCTTATTGTATGTAACTCACAGTTGACGTCCAAGGTGACGGCGGTGGAGATTGGCGCCGCGTAGTGGTTGTTGGACGCCTGACACGTGTATGCAGTATACAGTATACATGACACACGCACCTTTCTACCAAACAAACATTGTAAACACTGTGCTTATTGTATGTAACTCACAATTGACGTCCAAGGTGACGGCGGTGGAGATTGGCGCCGCGTAGTGGTTGTCGGACGCCTGACACGTGTATGCAGTATACAGTATACATGACACACGCACCTTTCTACCAAACAAACATTGTAAACACTGTGCTTATTGTATGTAACTCACAATTGACGTCCAAGGTGACGGCGGTGGAGATTGGCGCCGCGTAGTGGTTGTCGGACGCCTGACACGTGTATGCAGTATACAGTATACATGACACACGCACCTTTCTACCAAACAAACATTGTAAACACTGTGCTTATTGTATGTAACTCACAGTTGACGTCCAAGGTGACGGCGGTGGAGATTGGCGCCGCGTAGTGGTTGTTGGACGCCTGACACGTGTATGCAGTATACAGTATACATGACACACGCACCTTTCTACCAAACAAACATTGTAAACACTGTGCTTATTGTATGTAACTCACAGTTGACGTCCAAGGTGACGGCGGTGGAGATTGGCGCCGCGTAGTGGTTGTTGGACGCCTGACACGTGTATGCAGTATACAGTATACATGACACACGCACCTTTCTACCAAACAAACATTGTAAACACTGTGCTTATTGTATGTAACTCACAGTTGACGTCCAAGGTGACGGCGGTGGAGATTGGCGCCGCGTAGTGGTTGTTGGACGCCTGACACGTGTATGCAGTATACAGTATACATAGCAGACGTACCTTTCTACCAAACAAACATTGTAAACACTGTGCATATTGTATGTAACTCACAATTGACGTCCAAGGTGACGGCGGTGGAGATTGGCACCGCGTAGTGGTTGTCGGACGCCTGACACGTGTACGCAGTATACAGTATACATAACACACGCACCTTTCTACCAAGCAAACATTGTAAACACTGTGCTTATTGTATGTAACTCACAGTTGACGTCCAAGGTGACGGCGGTGGAGATTGGCGCCGCGTAGTGGTTGTTGGACGCCTGACACGTGTATGCAGTATACAGTATACATAGCACAAGCACCTTTCTACCAAACAAACATTGTAAACACTGTGCTTATTGTATGTAACTCACAGTTGACGTCCAAGGTGACGGCGGTGGAGATTGGCGCCGCGTAGTGGTTGTTGGACGCCTGACACGTGTATGCAGTATACAGTATACATAGCACAAGCACCTTTCTACCAAACAAACATTGTAAACACTGTGCATGTTGTATGTAACTCACAGTTGACGTCCAAGGTGACGGCGGTGGAGATTGGCACCGCGTAGTGGTTGTCGGACGCCTGACACGTGTATGCAGTATACAGTATACATAGCACACGCACCTTTCTACCAAACAAACATTGTAAACACTGTGCTTATTGTATGTAACTCACAGTTGACGTCCAAGGTGACGGCGGTGGAGATTGGCGCCGCGTAGTGGTTGTTGGACGCCTGACACGTGTATGCAGTATACAGTATACATAGCACAAGCACCTTTCTACCAAACAAACATTGTAAACACTGTGCATGTTGTATGTAACTCACAGTTGACGTCCAAGGTGACGGCGGTGGAGATTGGCACCGCGTAGTGGTTGTCGGACGCCTGACACGTGTATGCAGTATACAGTATACATAGCACACGCACCTTTCTACCAAACAAACATTGTAAACACTGTGCTTATTGTATGTAACTCACAGTTGACGTCCAAGGTGACGGCGGTGGAGATTGGCGCCGCGTAGTGGTTGTTGGACGCCTGACACGTGTATGCAGTGTGCAAGTGTCTCCTCTCTACGTGCTCTATGTGCAGCACGTTGCGTACTCTGCGGTCTGCGATGGCCTCGAACGTGTCGTCTATCAGCGCGTTCTCCTGCCACCAGGTCACTCTGGGCAGCGGTCTACCTAACATCACCCGTATTGTTAATGGTTCCATTCCTATTCAGTTGATGGTATGTTCTCTTCACACCAACTGGTACATTGAAATTTCCTAAGGCTATTTAATTACTATGCAGATAAAATTTTTTTTTTTAAATTCCTTCATGCATGCACTTGCTATAAGATCGAGGTCGAATTCTAAGTGCTAACTGTACAAATTGAAAAATAACAGGATTCTACTTGAACATTTTAAGCTACACCACGCCCAAAATAGAATATTACAACAGTTCATTACAATAAATTATCCTATGTGAGATCATTAACTTTGTCCTAACCATAAAACTATGTTTAAACTTTATCTGAATGCGTCATGTATTTCAATAGTTTTATTTCATTTGCATACAAAAAAGTGTAATAATTATTAGTTAGTCATTATTTAACTGAATTCCCACGATAACACTATGGAAAAGTAATACATTTTTTTATCAGTCACTTCTTATGAACACATCTGTGACATTTACTGACATCTATTATAAGATCAAATTTTATGTAAACTTTTAAGGCGATTTACCAAATAAAAATATAGGCATATGGCACATCAAAATGAACCTTAAAGTGTTTAGATTTGCCGAAAAGTATTTATATGGACAAACTTCCTAAGGGCTCTGCCCCACAGGCTGATTTCCAAAGGGCTACGCCTGGCATACTTCCAAAGTTTACATGATTTAATTTAATTCAGTAATGAAACAGCTGGTCAGTACAATGAAGTGGTGTTTGTTTATTTATTAAAAAAATATGTTTGTGACGCTAGGAGGGTTATGTTTGGTTTAAAAGAAAGGTTGTATACGTTTTGTAAAGTATTGATCAAAGTTTCATTCTGTAGTTTATAACTGGAGTCTAAACCTTCGCTAAATCATCACGATGTTGTCCCCTGGCGCTGCGGAGTGGGGGAAATGATTCTCCCTCCACCTCCCCTCTAGACGGCATCCAAACAAGTCCGCGTTGTTTTACATGCATATCATATACAGTACCTATGCTGCAGTTGTTCAATAAGTTAAAAAATGAATATTTATAAAATTAAACTGTCATAAACTAACCTAACCAACCAAACATGCTGATTATAAAAAAAATATATAAAATAATAATCGAATGAAGGTTTACTAATCGAAAAAATAGTTCTGTTTATAAAATAAAATTATAAATGCCTTGAATTCAATTTTTTGAATTTATTAATTATAAAATTAAACTGTCATAACCTAACCAATTCAACCAAACTTGCTGATAATGAAAAATCTAACAAGGTTTACTAATAGAAAAAAAATAGTTCTAAAATTATAATAGCTCAAATTGAATGTTATAATGTTTTAATTAACAAATTAAACTGTCATAACCTAACCAAACTAACCAAACTTGCTGATAATGCAAAAATCTTAGACAAAAAGTTAGTGCTACCGAGAGGATTCGAACCTGGTATCTTCAGATCCTCAGCCCAGCACGTTATCCATTAGACCACCGAGGCCGGTGGCTACGAACCGTATCGTTGCGGTAATGGTGTTCCCTCAGCCAATAGAATGCTTTGCTTCCCCCACTCCGCAGTGCCAGGGGACAACATCGTGATGATTTAGCGAAGGTTTAGACTCTAGTGTAATTTATATAGTAAGCTACATGTAAAGAGGCTTGACTTAAGTTGAAGAATACATTATAGTAAAACATGTCATTCGTGAAGCATCAATATGAAGCAATTCATGTTTATTGCTACACAAAGGTATGTTGTCATATTCTTTTGGATCTATTAACATAAGAAGTAGGGGTTGAAAGTAAGTAAGTTTACACTTTTAAATCAGTTTATATTTTCAAACTAAATCATAGAGTTGCCGTATTTCAAAACACATATCAGAATTACTTTAATAGCTCTCCAGGTCACATTTTCTTCCCGTTGCAAAGCACGAGTATAGCAGCTTGTATTAATTTATAAGTGCAAACTAGATTGACTTTAAATATATAAAAAATCAAGGCACATTTTGTTTCTAGACGTTGTTTGTTTTTGACTAAAGGAAAAGAGTTAAATGTGCCTCTCGCAGTCTGCTACAATACAAATTCGATTTTCTCTCTCAGCTTTTGATAGACTATGCGATTTATAACATATTCACTGATATGCAATAAGTTTCGCTATCAGTTTGTAAATGTAGGTAAATTGGTGTAGCCTATAAAACAGAAAACGTTATCCGACAACAACAGCACTTTCTGCTACATTATACAACTTTGTTCCTAATCTGGCATCAAGTTACACTTGAAGTGTATTTAAACCTACTCTACTGAATTCTATCCATAAACAAAGATATAACGAGAAGAACATTGATAAAAGTGTCTTCATTACAAAATCATCAATTATTGTCAACATGTAAAACAATAATTTAAGTTTACTATTTTTATGGCTATTGCCTTATCAGTATCCCCTTAACCTTATCAAATTAACTAAACCATTTCAAAATCTTTAAATTCACGATTGAAATTAATAGGCATGCAATATTTATATCAAACGATACGAAATGCGTTTATCTTGATGGAAAACTCCGAACGGTAGATCATTTACATTTAACGCCAAGACAAGGAATATAAAAGTCATGATTCTTTCAATATGAGTGTAAATCCGTTGACAGGCTGCCATATAAAACGTCGGTTTATTGGATTCACCTGCACACCTTATAAATCACAGACAACACGCCTCCAGGCCCGGTGAATATGCTCTCGGCTCAATATAAGTTTGACCTTTCACTTTTATTTCTTACTAGTTTTCTATTTATAAGGGAAAGGTGGTATTTTGGGAAATATTAAACACTTTCGTAGTAAATTTAAACTCCTCAAAAAATGTGATTTTTTTTGTTACTACAGTAATGTGCATTCTATTTACAACAGTTTCCATCCGAAAGAAAAATAAACTATACAGGGTGACAATTAAGTAGGACGACTTTATAACTTCAAAACAAAAAGAGATATCACAAACAAATTTGGCATGTCATTACTGGTAATAGAGGGCTACTTTTTCGTGTACATAGTGATCGGATGTCTCCTAGGGGATGGCCCATAGGGAACGAGTTGAAAATCTTTAAGGTAAGCATAGGTTGATATGTACATAAAATTAAAGGTCTTGTTGAACTTAAGACAATCCCGCAAACCAGACCTCAAATGGACAACCTAATCAAAAATGGCAGCCGTTCAAAGATTTATTGAATCTGCCATTCAAATTTTTAAACGGCTGCCATTTTTTGCTCAGTTGTTCTTTTGAGCTCAAATTTGCGGCATTGTATTCTACTACTAAGAACCATTAATTTGATGTGCATATCTACCTATGCTTACGTTTGTGATTTGTTTTCCGTCTTTTAGCGGGTGCCCCCTGAGGAGGTAGTGTAAATAGCATTCTTAATTAAATGAATCTTGAACAGCTGTCACTTTTTTACTCGATTGTCAATTTGAGGCCTGGTTTGTGGCTATGTTTTTAGTTCAACAAGACCTTTTATTTGATGTACATATCAACCCAAGCTCAACTTTAAGGTTTTCAACTTACTCCCTAGGGTCGTCCCCTATAGGTGACATCCTATCACCATGTTCACAAAAAATAGCTTTCTATCATCAGTATGTGGTATGCTTAAGACTTAATTTTCAACCTACATTTTAAAATTATGCATTTAATTGATACTTGACATATAAAATAACTCGGGTAAAATAAAATGAAATAGCATAAAAACTAATAATTCCACGACACAGACACTGAAAGCATGGTCTTTAGTGCTGACTAATGATTATACAAACAAATCGATGATAAAAATATAAATTAACACGTTCAAAATAACAAAACATTTTCTAGTATAAAAACTAACAAATAATTCCGTGGTCACTAACACTGACACTGAATACATACTCTTTTTGGCATGGTATCGTCACACACATAAACAATTAGCTATATTTCATAAAAGTATTTTTCGGGAAGGGTTACGAACGCTTTGGATTTGTACTACTTTAGTGAAGCAAATGAAAAAATCAACAAAACATAAGTAAACAAATAGTTTAAAAATATTTTAAGTTGAAGAATCAAATACAAACCTCCGACGGACGTACAAGATATGTCCACGGCTGTACCCTCGTTGTAGGGGCCCAAGATGTAGTGATGTAGGTTGTCACCTCCTCCTCGCTCATCTACCACCACTAGACGCTGTGGTGGCACTGTCAAACCATTTAACAGTTAAGTTAGTTATTCGTGGATATACTCCTCGGTCAATTTCTGATTCGTGATCTTCGGGCGAAGATTGTGTCAAAATCAATGAAACGTCTTTGTAAATGGTGTTTGCCTCATGTAAAGTGTTATCTTCAAGGGCGTTATTAAAATTCCCTCACAGCTGACTCGATTCGTCACAGCTGGCAATACTCCACAGTCACAGGTGACTTGATAAGTCAACCATATGGAAATCAGGTCTAAAGGATGTCACAATACATAAAAAACGAAATGACATGGTTGGTGAAAAGAAGTGCTCAATTTTGACACGATTGCCACCCAAGGACCACCATTCTACAGATTTAATTGGTTAAAATTGGTATACAGAGTTGCAAAGTATGTAATGTTGTAGGTTTTCACCCACACACCACCACCAGACGCTGTAGTGGCACAGTTAGTTATAATAGCTGTGTAATAACTATCTAACTGCACAGCGACAGGGTGTATAGTGTATAGGTCCTGATTATAGATGATTATACGGTCCTGCCTGGTGAATTAGCACACAGCACTTATGGAGTTGGTCAAAACTACAAATACATATCCCTGCATATCTAATACATATCTAATACAAACTAGCAGATGCACTCTGTGCGGAAGCCCGGGTTTGAAGCTCTAAATCCTGAGTCACGGCGAAGTCGTAGTAGGGAGGTGAGAGGTGAACGGTAGCTTGTCTGGGTCACACAGGAACTTTCGGTTTAGCGTTACACTCACGGGGGGTCCGACCTTCTCATTGACAGTTACCGGTCTACTCGTAACCAATACTGTCCCGTAAACACGCTTTTTTACCACAGCAGGATTACAACTCTTTAAAAGACACGATGATGTACCTAACAGGCTGTGCAAGATTTATAATTCTCTGGGTAAACATCTAGTATTGCTTTACTTCTGTAAACCAATCTCTTGATCCATAGACCCTCCCGATACCTCTCACCCATACCTTTAGTCATAGTACCCATACCTTATACCCATACCTTATGTGAGCATTTTAAGCTTATGGTGAGTTAGACTGGATAGAGACCACCTTTGTAACGTTGTTAATGACTAAGAACACCGGTTTAGCCAGAACTAGTAGTCTAATACAAACTATAGATAAACTTTAGACAAATGATCAAAGACAATTGAGTTCAGTTTTTAAACAACTTAAAATCTACTTATATTTTTAGCATTGCACTGCCTTCTGGATACTAGGTGACCACCACAAAAGCCCAGATACCTAGATCTTTGATTTATATTGTATGGAAAGTCTAAAATTGAATTGTGTATTGAATTGTTTATTGCACGGCAGGAAAAGAGTGTCTCACTATTTATTCTGTGATTGCTTGTAGTAAATCTGAACGAAGTAGCAAAATAGAACCTAAAGTTTCGAACGATTAAATACGCCCGTCACACTAAACCCGCTAACTTTCAGTTTAAACATCCCACACCATCTATCACACTTTTACGTGTCTTTTTGGGTGGTTAGCAATTCAGTGACAAGTTAATTATTTCGTCAAGATAAAAAAAAAAATGATGACGGTTTTAAGTAGAGAATATCATATGGAAATATTAAAAAACACAGTTTTTCATTTTATAAACTAAAAGGTACAGTAGTATCGATCAAAGTACTAAGGTACTATTCAAAGACCACTTTATAAAAAGCTTCTATAGCTACTATAAAGCTTCTATAAAGGAAAATTGTTGCCAATAAATACAGGAAACCTAAACAATACAATCCAACTGAATACAATAATAAAATTAAACTATTTTGCAAAACAACGTGTTCAAAAAAACAAAGTGGACGAAATACAAGTAGAGAGTTGGGTTTGTACAGGACGTAGATTTCCAGCCACCATTACTTGTACAGAGAAGGCGAGACAATATAAAAGAACCATTAAGGCACTTAGTAGTGTCTAAGCTGCTCCTCAATAGCGATCATATGTCTCCGTTTGTAGCTCAGTGTTGTGGTCACTAGCCTGTAGTGATTTAATGTATACAAAAAAGCGTATCATTTACATAAAACAATCAGTCGTAAACATTTAATTCTCAATCCTTATTCTTGTTTGTACATAGCTCAATTGGGAATTCACTGGTTTATGATTGAAGAGATATATTGTTTAAAGAGTGGAATAGGTCAGCGTTCTAAAGATCCTGTGTTGTTATCAAAGGTGTTTAGGTAAAATTTACCATTAATTGGTATAACACTTAGGAGATAAAAAAAAACTGTTGTAAAGCCTTTAAAAACTTTTTTTATAAACAAAAGGAACACTTAAAATAATCCGCCGCAGTTAAAATGCTCTAAACAGGACTTGATTGATTAAGCAAGTATAATTCAATATGCTTAGCATATTCATAAGTACATTATTCATTTCCATTCATCCCATGATGAAAAAGTTAAATAATAATTCCTGATTATTTGTACCAACGAAAATGTTCTCTAGCCCTAGAACAACTCTTAAGATAAACCAACATTTTTAACATTCGGAGATTTTGTATTTAGTTTGAAGTAATGCTTTCATAGTGCTTATTCATCTTTAGAGAAGCTGCAATGTACTTACGTATGACGGTGAGGTTGACTTTGGTGTTTCTCGTGGGTGACTTCTTGAAGTCTATTCTGCAGCGGTAGACGCCGCCGTCCTGGTCTCGCACGTCGTCCAGGGTGAGCCGCGCTGGTGCCTCGGCCAGGCGGAACGTCGCCCGTGGCCCCAGAGTCGCGTTGTCTGCCCAGTGGACCGCCTGCTCCACGCTGCGACCACGGGCATCCACGCTGCATACCAGTACATATTATACAAGTAGGTCTACAATAGAAATGTAAAAGTAAAACAAGATAACAATGAGCTTGCTATACAACTGCAACTACACAGCTCGGACCAAGTTTAGATTAACCGTCAAAGGACTGAGTTAGTCAGTTGCGTCCTTTAAAGAAGCTCACTTAGGTTAGCGAACACAGAGTTCACTAATTCCGAGAGAAAAGGGTTGGCGAACTCGACGATTGATTTAAGAGATTGACAAGTAAATGTAGGCTAGGTGAAATAGCGAGTTCTGAAATCCAATTTCGCGTGTCAGGAAAGTGCATATGCTCAGATGAGTTCGTGATTTGTTAATGGTATTGTTGACTAACGTCGTAACTACTAAATGTGTTGATCTTGAAATCGTAACTACTAAATGTTTTATAAAACAGTGCACTATTCACGAGGTGTACATTAGTCAACTAAATTTGAACCATTTTCCCATATTAAAAGTTTGCTTCATTATTACCAGATGGTTTGTAGTTTACAGTTTGTTTTTTTTTTTAGTTATATACTGCGTAATAGTACATATATAAGTTTCTTTGCGCCATCGTGCGTTTTATAAAGAACAAAAATAGGTGTGAATTAAATATCAGGCGAGAAAGGACTATTTGTCAAGCAAATGGAGCGTCACAAATCATACTTATAGCTGTTAGCGAAATAATTTGTTTAATTGTACAAGACAAATTATTTTGGTGGTTTGTATAGGAAAGCTTATTTTCCCAGTACAAAATATCAACACACTGGAGGTGATAAATTGACATAAACCATTATAAATCACGCACATGGTTAATGTTCCCTCAAAAACTGTATTTGTTTGGTATCAGCTGTACTATCATTATCAAATTTCATGAGTCTACAAATCGCAGTTTGTATTATTATTTCTCTAAGTTCCTTTAAAGTCACACTTCACGGGATAAAAGGAGGAATAACGTGGGATAACGCGGCCCACGTCACTTCACTTCATACCGTACTGTACGTAGCCTGGTATTTATTCTCACCTAATGCTGTTTACTAGAAAACGCTCGAGGAAATGCTGTCTCCTTTTACGCCTTATATTATTTTTAAAAGATACCTTCCACTACATTCCATCTAATAATAAGGTGATAGTGTAGGGAATTTTTAATCTGGAAAAATAGTTCAAACGTAGCAAAATAATGTACATCTCGTGAATTGTCGAGCTAGTCAACAATACCATAACAAAAATCACGAACGTTTTAATTGTTATGATTTTGTAGACCAAGATATACAAAATCTTATGAACAGAAAATGTATGTATAATCCATACGTGTAAATAGGTGCATCGTCAGGCTCCTTGTACCAGATGACAAGATGTATCTTATCCCCAGGTATGGGAGGTGTGACGTCACAAATTAGCCTGGCCGTGCTACCAGCCACCGCCTCCGTCGACGTCACGGACACTGAAACACACAAACATAAGGATAAATCACTAGACTGCTTGTACCAGATGACAAGATGTATCTTATCCCCAGGTATGGGAGGTGTGACGTCACAAATTAGCCTCGCCGTGCTACCAGCCACCGCCTCCGTCGACGTCACGGACACTGAAACACACAAACATAAGGGTAAATCACTAGACTGCTTGTACCAGATGACAAGATGTATCTTATCCCCAGGTATGGGAGGTGTGACGTCACAAATTAGCCTCGCCGTGCTACCAGCCACCGCCTCCGTCGACGTCACGGACACTGAAACACACAAACATAAGGGTAAATCACTAGACTGCTTGTACCAGATGACAAGATGTATCTTATCCCCAGGTATGGGAGGTGTGACGTCACAAATTAGCCTGGCCGTGCTACCAGCCACCACCTCCGTCGACGTCACGGACACTGAAACACACAAACATAAGGGTAAATCACTAGACTGCTTGTACCAGATGACAAGATGTATCTTATCCCCAGGTATGGGAGGTGTGACGTCACAAATTAGCCTGGCCGTGCTACCAGCCACCGCCTCCGTCGACGTCACGGACACTGCAACACACAAACATAAGGATAAATCACTAGACTGCTTGTACCAGATGACAAGATGTATCTTATCCCCAGGTATGGGAGGTGTGACGTCACAAATTACCCTGGCCGTGCTACCAGCTACCGCCTCCGTCGACGTCACGGACACTGCAACACACAAACATAAGGATAAATCACTAGACTGCTTGTACCAGATGACAAGATGTATCTTATCCCCAGGTATGGGAGGTGTGACGTCACAAATTACCCTGGCCGTGCTACCAGCTACCGCCTCCGTCGACGTCACGGACACTGCAACACACAAACATAAGGATAAATCACTAGACTGCTTGTACCAGATGACAAGATGTATCTTATCCCCAGGTATGGGAGGTGTGACGTCACAAATTACCCTGGCCGTGCTACCAGCTACCGCCTCCGTCGACGTCACGGACACTGCAACACACAAACATAAGGATAAATCACTAGACTGCTTGTACCAGATGACAAGATGTATCTTATCCCCAGGTATGGGAGGTGTGACGTCACAAATTACCCTGGCCGTGCTACCAGCCACCGCCTCCGTCAATGTCACGGACACTGCAACACACAAACATAAAAAAATAAGATAAAATAAACAATTCACAAGTACCAGGTAAATCAAGAGGCTCGTCGTACCAACTTGATAACACGCCACAAGGTTCTATTACTGGCACATCCACAAAACATAAAGATTTGGACCGCTTTCGCAAAAAGCGTTGGAATAATATTCTCTGTTTAATTTAATCTGAAAATGCCATCGGCATGGACTAGAACAAAAAAAGGTTGTGATGGTGGGACGGTTGCAAACATAGACACCACCAGACTTAAATGTCCAACTCTCCTACTATCTATATATTAATTTGAAACTGCTTTCCTTTGTCATAGCTATTTTGAGAGAACGGCTGGGTGTAGAAACTCGGTAGAGGTGTCTAAAGAAAGGTCTTGGTCTGTAGATGAGCCATCAAAAGAGAAACATGGTGAATTCCCTTGGGGCTCTGCCCCAGTGGCCTTTAAATTCCCATCCCATGTTATTCTTATGGAGGAAAACGGGGTTTTTGTCACAGCTAATTTGAGAGAACGGCTGGGCGTAGAAACTTGGTAGGGGTCTCTAAAGAAAGGTCTTGGTCTGTAGATGAGCCATCAAAAGAGGAACGAGGTAAATTCCCTTGGGGCTCTGCCCCAGAAGCCTTTAAAGTTGCCTCTTCAGATTTGTTTACATTACGACCATATGCATAATTCTACACTACTTTTTAATGAAACAGCTGTTAATATTTAAATTGTGATTTATTGAATTTGTCAAAATGAAGTTTTGCAATGGGTTTTTCTGATTTTAAATTGGATTTTCTTCTGCGCCGTGTCATGTTTTGCAATATAATGTTCTATTACCAAATCAGTGGAAAATCCTAATATCACAGTAACTCTTAAAATTATTTCTTTTGGAGTTAACTTATATCTATTGTATGGGTTGGTTTCTGCCTTTTTTACCACTTCTTGGAGATTGTACGTAGGTGATATTCGTTGGCATATTGCATCTGTAGACGAAACTTGGGTTGGTGTAATTATTACAATGGAAAAGAGTGAGAAATCGTGGACAATTTGATATAGGCTAAAAATAAAACTAAATTAACACTGTTCTACATTTCTTGAGCAATCATTGAAATAATCAATTTGCAAACAATGGAAACATAAAAAGTCATAGAACACAACCAAGTAGAAGAAATAGAATTTTTTTTTCATTTATAATCGTTGTCATATACAACCTAATGCGGCTATGAGAGGGAAAAATTTGTAGAAAACACAAAAAAAACAAGACAAGCTTTTTGAAAAAAGATAAGATATTTACAAAAGATTTTGATTATATCTAACTGTTGTGTAGATCGTGAGTATTTCCATAATCTTCGTGAGTCGCCTGTAATGCTTCGCAATTGCTCGAATTCGAGCAACAGGTACACTAGTCTATATATCTAATTCCGTAAGCCCAAAATTTTACAATGAAATTGTGAGCGAACGGGAGGCGGTAGAAAGCTGGAAGAGGTCTCATTTTAAAGGTCTGGGCATGAAATTTTGGGGAAAATTATTCATTTTTCTTAATTATGCACAAAAAGGTTGTTACGGAATAAAAACAATTCACATTTAAATAGCATGGGAATCTAATTTTATGTATTTTTATTTAGTGCAAACACAGCTGTGATTATATAAATTGAAAAAATATAACCACAAAACTTAAAAACTGTAAACTTAAATGGCTTGCACAGTAACAATGTATAATGTCAGAAGACTACCACTCAGAGGTATTGTTCCTCGAAATGAGAACTAGAGGCGCCAGATTTGGCACGATATTAATGGAAGAAGAATAAATGAGCATCGGATAACCATGAAGTTATTCCTGTGTATAGATTACCACTTTTATGTGAGATTGCATTACACAGCGTAGGGCCAATGAACTATGGGTGCATTCATTGTAGTGCATTGCGCAATTTGATTTGGTGAAATTGTGGCGGAAGGCCGAACCTTCACAAAAGTTGGCATTAATTTGAAAATCTCAGTGTTTACCCATGGTTAACTTTATGTTGCTTTTAGATGGGTAAAGAGCGTGGATGATGTTAATAGTACCATAGATAAAACATACTCCCTTATAGTACTAACAGATCAAATTGGATACTATACAACAAATGTTTTTTTAGAGAGATTTTGTTAGATGAATTAGCATTTTACAATTTGGATGATGACATTATCTCTATATGTGTTTTTCTAAGTGAATTTGTCTATATTTAAAGAAATCTATATATATTTATTTAATAGTCATGAAGAATGTTATTGGAAAATGTTCCTTAGTTGTATTATGATTTGAAAGTTTATATTATAAACACACCACATATCCTTTGGAATTTTGTATTTTAAATAGAGCAGACATCAAAACGCATTTTGCAGGTATGTAATAACTATTATACATATCATAATAAAAAAAGTTAAATGATAATTCAAGGTAGGTAGGGTAACCCATGAGACTAATGATTTGTAAAAGTAATTACTATAGAATATAGGGGCTATTGCCCCTACAAGCCACTAGTTGCTACTACTCTACATACTCTATAATGGTTACCTACTATAGAGCTTTGAATTAATAACCCTGACCTCAAAGAGAGTATGTAATTGTAAACAATTGGATTAAAATCCAACAAGAGTAACTTACATAGTTCGATTATAACTTTGACGATTTTATTTTTACAGTAATGTTAAGTGAGTACTTAGGCATGAACAACTCTAACTTTGCCCTAATTACTCTGGAAAAGTCCAAGAATTTTCCTTTTTTATTTTGATTCAACAAAGTGTAATAGCTTACTATCAAGAGTTGTTGTACTAAGTGTTCCTTGTAATCACAGAGAGAGGCCTGAGGGACAGCGTTTACTCAACGTGTGTCGTGCGTGGCAGTAGCACTGGCTCAGACAATGTGTTCTAATTGGGCAGACAATCACTCGCTTCCCGCCTAATCGTCACATTCTGCCGGCCAATTGAACACGCTCGTAATCAGCTGACCAGCTGTTAGAACTACCCACTTGCCACTTACCAGCGTATTTTGATTATCTCTAGTCTATGTTTGCATATACGTCGCAAGTCACATCAACCATCAATGTCCAAAATCAAACCAACGAACAGGTAAACACAGAAATAATAGGCCTAATATTTTATTTATTATTTACGCAGTTAGAAAGAAATATTTTTTTTCGCAAGGAAAGTTTATTAGCTGACAGCATTCATGGCCATTGAAAAAACAGTACCTATACTGATATAATAGTGAAACCATAAATTATAATAGCGAATACTTTTTATGAAAAAACATCCAGCTGTGTTTGAATTAAATTCGTAATTTTAATATTGTAATTCTACCCCACAAGCCTTTGAAGTTTCCTTATTTTATTGCACTCGAATAGTGTCATCATCAGATAGTAACATAATACATACTTTTGTGCGTATCAAATTGAACTTACTAACACATTGTCCCTATACCTACGAGAAGTTTTCATTATGTGGATATACAGAGTTAGTAAAAAGTCTTGAGACCCCCTGTTAATTTTGTAACAGCCCTTACTAGAAAAACTAAACTCGGCACACCTTTATGGCATGTTATGAAGTACTTTTTGGGCAAAACTGCCACTTGGTGGACATCCCCAAAATGGGGGATTTCGGGGAAAACTCAAAAAAACTAGACGTCTCTATCTTAACACAGCAAAAAATGGCAGCTGATTGAAATCTTTAGAAATCAGAATTAACTTGCAATTTTATATTCAATAGACTGCCATATTTTACTGTGTTAAGATAGAGACGTCTAGTTTGCGTTGTTAGTTTCCTTTTATCAGGACCTTCAAAATGAGGGGTAGTAGCAATTAGGCTCAAAAAGTACTTCATAACACGCCATAAAGGTGTGTACAGTTTAACTTACTTTACCTAGTGTGAACCGTTATCCAAATTACTGGGGGTCTCCAGACTTGGAAAGGTGTAAGTTGAATTTAACTTCTGAGAATTTCAATGGGCTGCCATTTTTGTACTGGATTAAGGGGGCCATTTTTTACCTTCAAAATAAGGGGTCACTCGATAGGTCTTATCATTTGAAAATTTTGAGTTTCCCCCGAAATCCCCCATTTTGGGAATGTACACCAAGTGGCGGTTATGCCCAAAAAGTACTTCATAACATGCCATAAAGGTGTGCCGAGTTTAGTTTTTCTAGTATCGGCCGTTAAAAAATTAACAGAGGGTCTCAACACTTTTTACTAAGCCTGTATAAAAGCACATTGAAAGCAGTTATGTATAATTCGTGGTAATAATGATTTGAAACTTTTTATCTATCTTCTATACT